CTTTTTCTACCAAAAAAGCCCTGGTTAAAGGAATGTGTAGTTTGTGTTAAGGGAATCACACTGAAGTTCAAAGTAAAGGCTCAAAACAGAAAAGCCAGCCTCTGACTTCTATGTGACGGGCAAGGTTGCATCTGAGATAACCTGGTAGCTGCACATAGAACTTATGACTCCTTCATCCATGGAAAGCAAAAGAGTGGAGTTTCCCAATGCACACAATAGGCACATCCCCCCCCCCGAATGATGTCACAACCTGGGACAACCCTGCTGTACAAGATTAGTCTGTTTAACATACACAGAAAGGTCCACAGTCTCCAACTGGAGCTAAGCTATGGTTTCAAGGAGACAATTCAAGGGTGAGAGTTGGAAAATCCTTATACAGGGTCACTGCAGCACCAGACCATGTCCCAGCAACAAAAAAACTGAAATATCATGGAATATGGGGCATAAATTCTCTAAATAAATGAATGTAGTTCCTGGAATGAGCACCAACATTCTAAAAAAACGTTGTATGCCATAGCTAGTCCAGGTAGCAATTCACAATACTCCTCGGATTGACACTTGGGCATCATCCTGCTAAACTCAGCGCTTTTAAGTTCTATTTATTTCATGGGGTAATTACATGCTTCAACTGTTCCCACTGAACCCATTTGGTTTTGAAAAAACTTAACATGACACCTGTTGTATGCTCTGGGCAAAACCTCCTTGCTCCACCCCCCCCCCAAATACACAAAGCAAAGCTGCAACCTCATGAAATTTCAAAGCAAGGAATGACAGCTGCAGTTATCCAGCGGCTGCAGGCACTAAGTCAGCACAGCATGGAAATGCCATTGTCCAGCTGCCATGTTTCAGGAATCTGACTTCCTGCCCCGAACGTATTTTTTCAGCCAAGAAGTGACTGCAGATTTTGGCCTACTACTTTGGTTCCTATTTTACAAATGACAGGAAGCTGGACAATCAGCTTCCCCCATTACTAAACATATATATTAGTCCTTTATCCAGGTGATTCACCAGCTGGCTTCTTTCAAGATAACCACCTCCATGTATCCAAAAGATATCCACTTCCATGTATTCTAACCCTGGCTGCAGTCACAAACACTAAATAATCCAGTTTCAATCCACTTTCGGTGCACTTTCCAACTGGATTTTCACTTTGTGAACTGGTAACATCCAGTTGGAAAGTGCACTGAAGGTGGATTATTTAGTGTGTGTGACCGCAGCCACTGTATGTATCTTAAATTGTAAGAGCAACAACTAGCCATTGACAAAGCGACTGGCCATGGGTGCCCTTTCCTTGCCATTCTTGCTGCTGACCCTGGAAACATGGATTGCCATAGGAGAGACAGGGGTGAAGAACAGCCTTCCACTTTCCATTTCTACTACGGCTACTCAACGTCAGTTGCTAACAGCCGATGGAAGGGCAACTTCTCAGTTTTTAGTTGGTTGTTATGACAGTCATCCTAAGATCTGCTCTTGTTTAGTACCAATTTTGTGAAAGTGTTTAATGCATTTTTAATGCATACTAATGGAAATGCAGAATCTAATGTTGATACAAATATTGAATGAACACTATATTCCCAAGTTCTTTTACTCCTTAGATAACATTAAAAAAACACTTTGAGGCTCTAACCTTCAAGGCTAGCAGATGGAAGATCTTTGTAATATGGAACTTCACGACACCCGCCTCCCATCAGGCCTAATACAGGATGTGCTGATGTGATATTAATGACTGTAATTGTACAGTCGGGAGTGCCTCTTACCTGATAAAAAGAGCCATCCTGTGAGCAGACTTGCGAAGATGAGCAGTTCTGACACCGAAACTGCGAAGGAGATGATTTTCTGATCAGATAAGAGGCATCCACAACTGGACATTGATTATCAGTCATTTACTCCCCCTCCCCACATGTGAGGCTTTTACACTCAATACAGGTACTACATTGGTCTACTGGACCAGTTTCTGTTGGAGATATATGCTCTTTCCAAAGTTACATAAACATTTTTATTTGCAAAATAAGAAAAGTAACAAGAATTTAATACACATAGGTTAGCTCCAAGGATCCCACTGTGTGTGTAGAAGGCACTTCCACTCACATGCGGGGTGTGTGCGTACACACATCTAAATCTCACCCCTCAAATAAAAAAACTGGTTCCAGAGAAAAGAGACCTCTCTAAAGAGACCCTAATTTCTCTGGAGACATCTTCCAAGAGGTGCAGGAGAGGGTGTAGACCTGGGGGAGATCTGCAACCCATGCACGAGGGGGGTTGTGAGCAGAAGTACTATCTTCATTGGCAGAGGAATCTATAGATCCAAGACATGGAGAACATCATGTAGGTATAAGTGAGTAAAAACTTGTACTGCAAACAGACTCATTGTCACACAAAAATTGCATGTATGCAGAAAACAAACACGAAATTTAATTTTCAGTGTTATAGCCAGTAGATGCATTGTCTCAGGGTTAAGCCTGGCCATACTATTTTTAAAAAGTTGATAGTAATCTAGATGACTATTTTTAGCAAAGTATTATAAAATGTGCTAAAAAAAGAACATGAACAGACATAACACATATTTAAATACCTTTCTGAAGTAATAATACTTGATGCTGATTATATATCGTAATAAGAACACAGATCTCTTCTTTTAGAGAAAGGTGCAATCCTAGCCAAAGATAACTATGTTCAATTTCAACTGATTTCAGTTTAAGAGTAAGCATTCTTACTGTACTTTGGCTAACCAGATCTATTGTCTATTTTTAGAACTGTGCAGCTTCCCTTTTACTCTGATAAAACATGTAAGTCACTTTGAGCATTTGAAGAGGCACAGTAAAAACATGAATATGTTACTAACCACACAGTAATGCACTGAAGAAATATAATATTAGCTACACCCCCAATGCTAATAATAGAATATGGAAAAGTTTAATGAGCACAGAACATTCTCGCTGTTCTGTACAAAAACGTACACGTTTTTCATTATTACAGAACTATTGCCATACTGACTTTGGAAATTACTGGTTTGCCAAACTGTAAGAAGTTGGGGGCTGAATATTCTCGCCTGCAACTATGGCTAAAGTTTAACACAAAATGTATGGACTGGTAATTTCCATTTCATTGTATCTGAAGAAGTGTGCATGCCTTGAATAAAACTTTGTTGGTCTTAAAGGTGCCATTATGAACTTTGCTAATGGTCAAACATTGCCACCTAGATTAGCCGAGCACATATCCTGACTGATGGTGTTCAGCAAATCACAAAGTTAAAAACAAAATCCTGTGACCCAATTGTTTCCAACCTGCCTAGGTCATTCCACAGCAAAATAGCAGCACTTATGCCAGAAACATCTTTTTGATAATGTATATTGATACGGATGTTCCTTCCTTTAAACATTCAGTTATGGAATGCCCTTCTCATAACTCCTCAACATGTACCTATCCTGCAGAGATTTAGGTGCCACACTTTGGGCTGATTCCCACCCCCCACCCCCCAATTAGATACTGGGCTATTAAATTTTACAAATGTTTTAGTGTTTTTTCTATAAACTGTAGAAATTCTGTAAATTTTAGAATGAGAGATGGGGTATAAAATCCCAAACCCAAATAAAACTATTGAGTCTTTTTGTACCAAAGGCTCCAAACCACCACTGTTCCTGTCTTTCTTTTTTTACTTTTAGATAAGACTGTAAGATTCATGGCATATCATTTGCATTCTAATTTTGGGCACCTGTTTAAATTAAGGCCTTCTGGTCTGTCCTGAATGCCAACATTGGATATATTTTTTTAATGTGGGAAATGTAAGAAATGGAATGACTCTCTGCATTAGATTCTATAAACGTATGGAAACATACACAGTAAAATGTTATAAATTCACAAAGCAAAATAAAAATATATCTTTATTTACATTTTCGCCTCGTAGTCTCCATCTTGTCATGTAGATGAATTCCATAGTGTGATCCTTACCCATGATTTCTCCATTGCATAGTACATCCAACTGAAAAAAAGAGGGGGAAAAACAAGTACAATAAACCATAGAATAATCCTGAGTCATAAACAGCTTTCGGAAGAGATCAGGGCCCTGCGGGAACTTTCACAGTACTGCAGGGCCGCGAAAACAGAGCTCTTACGCCAGGCATTTAGGTAAGGAGCTGCATTTCATCATCTATACCCTGTGCCAATATTATTTCCAGCCTGAGCCCGCCGATAGTGGAACTTACCGCTGAATGTATGTTTTCATCAGCACTTTACCACAGCTGTACCACCATTGCTATGTAAATTGTTTTAATAACTATGTTGTGTGTTTTATACTGATATTTATATTGTTATTGTATTTATTGCTATCTTGCATAAGCCACCCGAAGACTGCCTCGGCGGGGAGGGCAGGGTAAAAATCAATCAATCAAACAAACAAATACATAAACAAATTCCTGGCAGATTCAGCAACACTGTAAAGAAATGAATTACCACTATTTAAGAGGAAGAGGAAAGCATACCAGTGCCTGCATACAACTTATCAATGAGACAATGATCACTGTACAGTTGAACAAAAATAAAAGCAAAACAGCCCTGATCCGGTCAACTTTACATGCTCTCAAATACTTTTCTCTTTCATTCCTGACTGTAGATCCAAACACACCTTTCTGAAGGAATTTTAAAAGTAGTTTGGGATGTGACCTATGGCAAACATCCTTGTATGCTTCGTTGGATCAAAGACAGCGAATGCAGAGTTAAGTCAGAATTAAGAGTCAGGAAAGCAATTTAATAGCATCTCTACTGCTCTGTGAACACACATACACTTATCTGGGATGAGCTCCATGAAAAAAACAGTTATGTGAAATTTTGGAGTACTTCATCTGGATGAAAAGCCAATTGCAAAAGAAGCCTACTGGCAGATGTTTATGACATCATCAATGGTGTCCATTCAAATCCCCTGGAAAGGTTTTTTAGCCTTTTAAATAACATTCCTATAAGTTTGGCATCATAATTCAACCCAAAGAACTGTAAAAAAAATAATTAACATTTCTTCCCTTAACCAATAGCTCTTATGCCATGTTTTGCTACAACTGAGAGGTTGATTGTTCTGTGGTGTTTCAAATTTGCTCCCTCACTCCTCCACTTTCTCAGTTTAATTTGAAAGGTCCCAATTAAAGTGAAGGGGGTAGATGGAGGGACAGATATTGGGGAAGTAGTGCCATTCTAAATGTTGGAGCTGCAATCCAATGCACAGTTTCATTTAGCAACACAGTATGATTTTATGTGGTTACAGCAGAAGATATTAACCATTGAGAATCTCTTTTCAGACCTCCAGGAGATTTTGAGACGATGGTAGAAGTGCATCAAGTAAGTTTCAAAGGGCTATGAGACACCCCTGAAAGTAATACTGGGGGTTGTTACAGAGCCAAGATATCATGCATAAATGATTTTGTTGCTTGTATATAGTCTTAGCAATAGTCTTAACCCAATTCCATATTTAGGTTTTTGTTTTTAAATTAGTTTTTCTTTCTAATTAAATGCCTGATTTATATAGTTTTAGAAGATTTACTTTCAATTATGACACTGGAGCTGGAATCCTATGCACACTTATGGTGGCAAGCAAGTCCTCACATCACTGACTTCTGAGTAAATATGTGTAGGATTTGACAGTTAATCCTATATTCCATCTTCAGCATTAGAGGCCAACAACTACTTGTACAGCTGAACCTTTAAATTCAAAACCATTACACAGAGGAGTCTACAACCTTTGAGTTGTTCTCTTCATACCTCGTAAGAACTTGGAAGCTTTAATTTTAAGCTTAGAAACTTCTTGATAGTTCCTACAGTCACTCGTGTAGAACACCGGATGAATTTCTTCATCAGTCCCTAACAAAAAAGAAACAAATGCTGTAAACTCAGATACATATTTTAAACATAAGGTCTCATTTGACCGGGCCCCAAAACGTTGTACTGAAAAACAAACTTGCGTTGTTTGATGTAATGTGTGAGACGAGAACATGGGGCCATAGCTCACTGATGGAGCACATGTACTGCATGTGGAAGGTCCCAGATTCAATCTGTGGCATCTCTAGATAAAGGATTTCAAGTAACAGAACTAAGAAATGCCATTGCTGGAGACCTCACAGAGTTGCTTCCAGACAGGGCGGACAACATGTAAAATGGATTAAGTAAGAACTTGGAAACTTTGGAGCAGTTTCTTATGTTCATATGATGAGACTTCAGTGTTTATGAAAATACTGCAAATTCAACTCTACCAAGCAGTTAGATGCACGTTAGACTTTACAGACAGGCTGATTCACAAGTGAGCCATTTAATGGAAGGCAACCGTAACAACGTAATTCATGGAAGAAATATCCAAACTATGCATTCAATGGCAGACTCATAGTTTAAAAATGAAGGGATGCTGAAGAATTGTAGAATGTGGGGCAAATCCAAATGAACAAGTGGTGAGGTTAACTTCTAGCTCCTTCCCCCAGACATTTTTATCTGAGCCAGGCTCTGAGAGTGGAAATGAGTCAGGAAGGGGGGGGGGGAACTGGCCTGGGAAAGAGAGGCTGCAAGGAGAAAACAAGATAAAGGTGAAAGAGGTGAGCAGCTGTCTCTTGCCCACTGCTTTTCTGCATGAAATCGCCACCCCTACTCTGCCTCTACTCAGCATGAACCATTTTTTAAGACACAGATCCATTGCTGTAACACAGAGGCCCCCAAACTTGTTGAGTCTGTGAGCATATTTGAATTCTGAGACAGGGCGGTGGGTGCCACCATGAAATGGTTCCCACAGGGGGTTGGGTGGAGATAATAAAACACTGGGAGCCTCCCAACATTTTGTGGAAGTTTCAAGCCAAGAATGCTCCCATGATGGAGACTACTGCTTCCAAATTGGTACACGCTACAGATATAATGTTGGTATCTCCTGGCTCTTCTGATGCCTTCCATCACCACAGAAGGGGAGGAAAGCTGGGACTGCTGTTTACTTTGGGGAAGTAATAGCATTCGGTCTCAGTTTCAAAAAAGTATAAATTTGCTTCTTGTCCAACCACAGAGAGAGGCTGGTTCAAAAGAAAGTCTGTGTTTTCTGCTAGTTGAAGGCTCATAGGATGCCTGGGAGGAACTCAGTGCACTGCTAATCAACTGATATGGAGTAACCCAAACCCTCCCTGTTTTTATCTGTTTCATTCAAAAGCCTTAAGATTTTATCCTCAAGATTCAAAAAGCCTTTGCTGCTGTGATGTCAAGTTTGGTCCTAGACTGCCTATGGTTTTTGAGGAGCATAAAGATACAGAAAATTAGAACAGCCAACAGTAACACACCTAGAAAGTTTATAACATAAACCTAAAAAAAAAAATGCTGCATTGTCCAAACTCACTTTAACTACATTATCTCCAGATTGTCCATTGTTACGTAAGCAATCCAAACAGATAGCAATCTGAGGGTCACTCCTGTGATAGTCTTTATCTTCTTGATTTTCATCTCCATCTTCCTCATCTTTGGGATGTTCAGATTTTGGATTCCCTTCTGGAAAATTTAAAAACATTTATTCATACACCGCACATTTTAATCTATGTACCAATATCTCAGTTGTCAGCATACTCAGTTGAATCAGTGAGACAGAACAGCAAGTAATTAGGGTATATAAGTCAATAGTACAGCTTTCATAACCAGCTTCAAAGCCTACTACAAAATCCTGGAACCTGGGGAACCAGGTTAGCTCCAGTTAACAGCTGTGCTGATACATTCTTTAACTGCTATGTTATGGTAAAAAGACAAAATTTGCTCTAGGAACTGGAAGATTCTGTACTACCATTCTCTATTTCTTAACTACAGTAGAAGAGAAGAAGAAGAGATTGGATTTATACCTTGCCTTTCACTCGGAGTCTCAGAGCGGCTTACAAACTCTTTTCCCTTCCTCTCCCCACAACAGACACCCTGTGAGGTAGGTGGGGCTGAGAGAGCTCTTTCATGGACTGCTCTTTCAAGAACAGCTTTGACAGAACTATGGCTTTCCCAAGGTCGTCCAGCCGGTACAAGTGGAGGAGAGGGGAATCAAACCTGGTTCTCCCAGATTAGAGTCCACGCACTTAACCACTACACTAAACAGCTCCAGCATTATAGTTGCATTGGTTCTGAATCACCAACCAATGCATACCTATTAAACTAACATGTTTCTGAAAAGCAGAAATTTCTTAGTAAATGTCCAGTGTATGTGTTTAGGTGACCTGTAATCACTGCTCAAATCCCCCAAACAGAATATTTTTGGAAGTGTCAAGGTTCCACCTCATGTATTATGTGTAGATAGCGTGTAAGAAAAGGAAATGTTCTTGTCTATTTAGGATGCTCAGCAATTCATAGTTTCTACATAAAAACTACCTAAATGTAGTTTTACAAAAGGTAACTGTTAGAAGCAACCTTTGGTAATGGAATATCCTGCTTGTCTTATTAAAATTATAAACGAATTTCCAGTACATAAGAGAACATAACTTTTCAGGAATATCCATGGGAAATTCCAGCATTTTTCAATTGTACTAACAGCTCTAAGCAACTGATTGAAATAAGTTTCTGAAACTATGTCCTTTGTTAAGACAGTCACAAGGATGAATACAATCACAACTCTTAAAAATATCAAAATGGATAAAAAGATCACAGATCCACAATGAAGAGAAGTACAATTTAAGACAACTTTGTGAGACAGTGTCAAAAATGCATCTCCACTGTAATGACACACAGAAGGTAAATACGTTTCCTCAGGTGAACAGATTACTGAGACAACTGGCTTAGAAATGATTATTCTAAAATTGTCCAGTAAGAAACTGGTGTTCCTTTCTATTTCCTGTACAAGTCTAAAACCTTATGGACTGTTTAACTTTCACTTCTGTTACACAATTCTAACTTGCTAACATATTATCTTAACATATACGTCAGATTTAAACTTCCAACTGCATGGTAACCTGTCAACAACAAAGAGACCTGTGTACTGTAAGAGGGTACTTTGTGGAAGTTTTATAAACTAGGGCCAAGCTATACAATCAATCTAAAGTAGGTATTTAATTGTGTAACACTCTGAAAATCATTGCCTAATGTACAAGAATACTTCTAATATAAATAGAAGATTCTGCCCAAAAACCTGTTTATTGGGGGGGGGGGGCCTCTAATGACAGGTATACTGTGAACTACCAAGTTTTGCACTATATTTTTGGTTTAGGATTTTAGCCTATCCTTTCCAAAGGCATGGGATGAATAGTGCAGTCCAGCATGTAATTTACACTTTGCCTTCAGATAACTATGCACATCCCAACTCCCATGGGAATAGAACTATGCTTACAGCTGGTGCAATAACTGGTGCTCACGTGGGACTGTGTTACCAGAACGGTATAAAGTGCTCTCACATTCGCTTTCAAAGAGGTAATGAGGGGGGGAGGAGAAGGGGTGGACCTTGAGGAAGGAAGTGGTAAATTATTTGCACTCCTGAAACTGCCTAAGAAGCCAAGATAGCCACTAAAATATTACTGTTATCAAACAAGGTTTCTGATGCCAGGCACAAATATGGGAATATGGAGCACACGTCTGCATTTTTAAATATATACAATGCTCATTGATTTCAGAGAACATCATTGGCAAGGTGTCATCAAACCACCAACAGCAGAGATTAAGGGCTCACTAGATGCAGTGGGCATCGTTTTGATCACAGGGATGTCACGGCATTTTGAAAGTGATTTAAAAATGTTGTGAAGGCCTGAATCAAGCCCTTGTGCCCCCCTACCTTATCAAGTGTCAAAACAGCTTTGAGGGGACGTGTGTGGCCATTTCAGCACTTGGGGGAGAAACAAAAGCATCTCAGCCTGCCACACTGTGAGCCCAATTAGGACTGGGCCCTTGCAACATTTTTAGATGACTTTAAAATGGTGGTGGCATAGCCCCATGGTGAACACAAGGATGCCATCATGTCTAGTTTGGCCCTAAGACCAGAACAACTGAAGAACAGGAAGAATAGCTGAGTGTATCATGTTTACAGTTCTTTCAAGGGCTAATCCAGTCCTATGTTAATATTTTGCCTTCTCTGAACTGCCTGGAGAGATTCTAGCAAAAAATAGTACATGCAGAATATACCAGAAATGGAAACGCACAGGTATTATTCAGACAGTTGCAGAACCAGTGAGTAGGTATTACATTATTTCCTGCTTGTATTCATGAGATTGTCTCCCCTAAAATTTACACAGGTGATAAAATCCAACAAAAATCTTTATATGTATGTACCCCATTCAAAACATTCCCAGTCAACTACTTGGATCCTAGACAGTATAACAGGACAAAACATTAACAGCAGCATAAGATATTTACAATATAACTTCACTGGGGATTTCTTACAAGCAGGAGAGCTCTGTATATATCCTGCCGTACATAAAAGCCAAAGAAACTTCTAGATTAGATAACAACCCAAACTCATTTTGCATCCTACTGTATAATATATATTAACAAATAGCCAAGTCCTATAAAGTTATGTAACAAACTGCAAGGGCTAACTTCAACAAATACTGCTGCACGTGAAGACACAATTGTGTATACATTTACAATAAATATATGTATCCATTCTGCCATGCAAGTATACTGAATATTATCAGAATGTTGTTACTTTATCAAAAAATATGTAGCTACCTTCTCCATTTTCTTGAGGTTTGTTTTTCCTCCAGAAGTCAGCCTCATGCTGCAGTTCTTCTAGTTATCAAAATAAAAAGGGTGACACTTCCAATCAGTAATGCTGAACTACCAACAAAATTGCAAGCGGGGAAAATGGCAAATCTAGTTAAGAAAGACTTTTTAAAAACTTACGTTCTCGAAGTCCTGGTACCAACTTAAATATAATTTCCTCTAATGTATTATCCAGCCTTTAAAAGAGAAGATATTATTTTAAGAAGTCAAAAAGTTGATTATTAAAAATATGGTAAAACTTAAAAGAAACACTTCAAAAGATTATTTTTGGACTGCTGTTCTTAATGCTTGTTCCAAATATCTTACTATATGAGATGGAAGTCAGCATGAGACTGATTTTGAGCCAAGAGGAAAGGCAGGGTATACACATTTTAACAAATAAATAAAATTCCATAAATATGCCAAACAGTACAATTTTATATGCTTAGTTATAAATTTGTCTTGTTTTATTGTTAAAGCAACAACATAAATTTGATAGGAAAGTAGTTACTGAATATATTTCAAAAACAGGAAAGACACATTTTCCCATGTCTTAAAAATTTTACAGGCATTTTACATTTTTATCCTCACCTGCTTGTGAATACATAGAACACTTTTTGCACAAGTGGGGGTCATTTCTATAAATTATGACTTCCTGCTGCCACCCCTGTACCATATCCCATTCTATTCCTGGGAGTATATGAACACTCAGGAGTAGCTTTTCAGAATGAATTGGGGGGGCTGCAGCAGGACATGGGAGATGGGAAAGCCAGTATCCGTGAGCAGTCCTCTATCCACGGTTCACTGGATCTAAGCTCATATGCCAATAAAGGTCTGTGTATGTGTGTGGATCTAAGCCAAAAATCTACTGCTTGTCCTGTCAGTTTACATGTATGGAGCGACTATACTAGCTTCATCCTAATGTACGCCCAAACACAGAGAACACACTAGGGATGAGTCACTTCAACTCCCATTGATATTAATGATATTAGATAGTATTCACAGTCAGCTGGTAATGCTACCTACAAATATATTTACATACAGGTGAAGCAGAGAACTTGGCTTTTGTTACAGTTTTTTTGTTCTGTACCTGATCTAATGAGAGAACAGTATTGCCCATTTAAGGTTATTTAAGGATGAAAATAAATCACAACATAAAAAGAGTATCCACAGTGTACATTCCAACTGTTTTGCTTGAGAAGGAAGCAGCACAACTTCACGTTACTGCTGTATGGTCCTTTACAAATACCACAGGTGATAAAGGGACTGAAATATTTCACAAAAGTTTCACTTGGACAGCCATTCCTAGAACAAGCTGCCAAATTTTCTTATGCCAGAGAAGAAAGGAAACAATGGAGGAATAAAACTGACAACTTAAATTAGCATTAATTGCAAAACTGGCCCAACATTACAGTCCTCTTCATATGTTATCACTATATATGCACTGCTTTCCAGAATGGTGAGACGTTCCAGGAGCCAGGGTCACATGGGTTGGTTCCCTTCGGAAGAGAGAGCAAGTAGAGACACAGGGTGTCTGTCTTCAAAGTTTTGTTGTTTCGTTTATAATTCTAAATTAATGCCACCTTGTATGAAGAAAAGTGCTGTAAACCTTAAACTCAACTCACCCTTAGTAAGAGAAGCTCCCTTCACATCTCCAGAAATCTCTTTATTGACTTGTAATAGCCCTAAGGTCATAGCGTATGATCCAGTTAAGGTCAGTCTTGACTATATCCCATTGAAACCAATAGAAAATCGTGTGTGTGTGTGTTAAGAAGAAGAAGAGGAGGAGGAGGAGATTGGATTTATACCCTGCCCTTCACTACCCAAAGGAGTCTCAGAGTGGCTTACAAACTCCTTTCCCTCCCCCTCCCCACAACAGACATCCTGTGAGGTAGGTGGGGCTGAGAGAGCTCTTTCAAGAACAGCTCTGACAGAACTATGGCTTGTACAAGGTCATCCAGCCGGTACAAGTGGAGGAGTGGGGAATCAAACCTGGTTCTCCCAGATTAGAGTCTGTGTACTGAACCACTACACCAAACTGACTCTCAAGTGCCATCAAGTCACTTCTGACTTACATAAAAAAACTAAAAAACATTAAAAAGGTTAATATTTTAACCTTTCTACTCTATGGGAGTATCTCTTTGGTCACTGTTAGTAAGCAGCATATTTTAAAAGTTAGGAAAGGTTGCTATCATCTTTTTGACTCCCTAACAATGGGTTTCACTGCAGGCAACAATTCTGGTTTACAGAGTGGGAAGGGAGGAGGAAGAAGAAGAAAAAAGAATTCTCCTAAAGAAACATGTCTTCAAGGGCTTTTGAATGGAAGTGTGTTTGTTTCGGTCACAACCAACATTACCAGGAATCCAACATCAATATTTTCATAAAATAACAAACAACTTCTTTAAATTCTTCAGACTTCAGTTATCTAAAGTTCTGGTAACCTTGTAAAATATCTATTCATTTTCAAAACTAACATACCTTATGTAGTTTCATAATCTTATCATTACACTAAATTGGGATGAATTGTGTTCTGTTTAAACAATTTATAACCAGCATCTCCTTACCGTAACATTTCTAAAGGATTCGTCTCGTGCACTTGATTGCCACATCTAGGACAGTCATTGCTGTCTTCAAAGTGCTGCACAATACAACTCTTACAAACTATAAAACAAGAAATGTGCATTAGCAAAATGGAAAATAGAAGAATGAGTGCCAAATACTGGCATTAAAAAAACATCTAGTGACCTAAGGTCTGTCATGGGTCCATCCAAAATTGCCTCCATTCCCCATATTCGGCTGGAACCCTTGTTACTCAGGTTGTTTTTCCAGCAATCCACCATCTGCACTATGCACCGTTTGCACTAACTCCAGGTTAGACTACTGTAATGCCCTCTACGTTGGCCTACCCTTGAGACTGATTTGGAAGCTACAACTGGTCCAGAATGTGGTAGCCCAGGTCCTTATGGGAACCCTTTTGACAGCACATATTCAACCAGTGCTTCACCAGCTGCACTGGTTCCAGGTTGAATACCAGGCCAGTGCTTCGGTTCTGATATTAACCTTTAAAGCCTTAAACTGTCTGGGGTCAACGTACCTTCAGGACTGCCTCTCCTGGCATACCCTGCGAAGAGCATTACGCTCTGGGGAGCAAAAACTACAGGTGATCCCTGGCCCGAAAGACATCTGGCTGTCCTTGACCAGCGCCGGCCTGGTGGAACTCTCTGCCTAGTGACATCTGTGTCCTGCGGAGCTTGGTACAGTTCCACAGGGCTTGTAAGACAGAGATGTTCCATCAGGTCTATGGTTGAGGAGAGCAACAGTTTACCATCGAGCCTGGCCTCCGTCACTCTCTGTCACACAACTGGTATCAATTGCCACCCGGACTGGCTTTACTGTATGTACTGCATCATTTTAATTGTTCAATTGTTTAGACTAAATTTAATTATTGATTGATATGTATTTGTTGGATGTTGTGTTCTACCCTGAGCCCTTTGGAGGAGGGCATTCTATAAATATTCTATATTCTATAATAATAATAATAATAATAATAATAATAATAATAATAATAATAATAATAATAATAAACAACTGACATTATTAATTTTCTTGTGTTGAGCTGCCCCTGAATTTAAAGGAAATGGGGAAGCCAACTTGCAGGAGGGGTCCATGCATACATCAGAGCATGCATGTAGATATGGACTAGAAGCAGGAGGTATGATATTTTCATGCTAATATCAGTTAAGGTTTCATTCTTTTAAACGCATTGGAATTACAAAGATGGGAAGACATGCGTAGCTTAATAAAACCAATTTAAGTATCATGATGCACAAATTCTGAATTCAGGTAAGATACAAGTTTACACTGAAGGTGAGACACTGGAAAGTACAAAGGGGAGGAACAAAAGTGTGTATATTACAATTATACCTTTTACTTCCTTTAAAGAGCTCAGAACGTTTTTCTTTCCCCCCCAAGCAGTCTCCTGCCTAGGTACCTTACAGGACAAACCTTCATCACTTCAGCAATATAAGTGCTATTGTCAGTTTTTACCACTTTATTTTACTTTTTTTTAGCATGATACAGACAGATTCAAGAAGAATTTACTAAAAATAAAGAGTATTGTGTACTGATATTCCTTGGCTCCAAACCTCTGACCTTTACCATTCAGCATGCGTAACTGCTAATCCTGTTGATTTATGACAGGACCTACACCTACCCTTTCTACATCAACTTGTCCCTTTCACCCCTTACATTGAGATCTACACTTGAAAGTTTCGTGGTGGCATTCACGCCAATCCTTGGCTCCTCCCCTACAACCTTCTCCATAAAATCTTCCAGTAGGATTTTCTTCACATATCTGTTTTACAAAGTGGGCTGTGACTCATGGTTAGTATTTAAAGTGCCACTGGAATTTTGTTTTATTTTGCTGCAAGTACAGCCAAACTAGTTAAACCAGTATTCAACTTTTCTGCTGGGTACACTGTGGAAAAACTGTTATTATGAAGATTATAATCCAAATCCTTAATTAAAAAACCCCCAAACTGATTAACCTCTACTCGCATGGACTAACAGAAAGACCCACACACACACATATGAAGGTACCACACAAAACCCCTACTTATAAAAATTACTTACAAGTATGGAGGCACTCAGTTACTGTCGTTGGTTTGATAAGATATCCTTTGCAGATACAACAGGTGATATAGGGGTTGAAATCTTTCACAAAATGCTTCCTCTGGGTAGCCATTCGTGGCACAAGCTGCAGCAGAGGAAAATGTTTTGGGCCCAAGCTGTGAAATGTTCAAAGCAAAAGAGGGCAGTATCACAGGAGCTGGTGAGCTGCTCTATGCAGCTGGACTTCTCCAGGCATTGGAGGACTGGGATCCAGGGCTTCTCAAAGGGGGATGATGATGACTCCCAAGTTACCTCTCCTTCTTTTTAGAGTTAGACATCTTCCAGCCCTGTCAGGCACAAAGACCCAATCAATCAATCAATCAATCAATCAATCAATAAAGAACATCTAAGCAGAGTGATTAACCATAGCAAATACAACTAGGACAGAGGAAGGGGGGGGGGGATCACTTGTCATCCAGCACAGTCTAGGCAGTAAAGCAGAGAAGAAGGCAACATGGCAAGAGTTTGTGCTGGAAGGATAATATAGGGCCAAGCCCATGGGCGGTGCATCGCCTGCGTAGGGGGACAGCTCACTTCTCAGTTTAAGAGGGAAGCCCTTTCCTACGAGCCGTGCCTCTTTCCCCAGCGGCTGCAACCTGCAAAAAGAGACATGACGGGACGCTGGCAGGGAGGGCGTTTTCGAAACCCAGGTCTACCCAGTCCCTCCCACTGCCCTCTCCCCTCCGAGCCACTGGCTGTTACTGCTCCCTCGGCCGGGCAGCGTCTCCGGGCTGCCGCCGGCACTTTCCCGCTCCCTCCCGCTCAGGCGCTCACGCTCTCGCCCGCCTTGGCCCTGCGTGTCCTTCCCCGCCAAGTCTCCTGCCTCATACCTGGCGGCGTTCGCCGGCCTCAGCCCGGCCGACAGGAGAAAAGGAAAGAGCACGCGCCGCCTCCCCCCCGCTTCTCTCCGGCTTGCCAATGCCGCGCCGCGCCGCCCCCCTCCCGCCAACCCCGTTCCGGCTGAGGCCGGCGGGACAGCCCCGAAGCTGCGCCACAGCCTTAGGGGGCGCTTCATGGCCTCTCCTTCTAGCTTCTCTCTCTCTCAGACTCACACACCCTACATTTTGAGGCCGGCTTCACTTGGATTTCTCCTCAGAACCTCTTTTCCACTGCAAAGCTCACCCTTGCTGCAGTTATGAAGGACAGTGTGTCTGAGCATGTACAGAATATTTGGTTTCTCCCGCATTGTTCAACCACGGTCTGGACCACGGGTGACAGATAATAAGTGGTCACAGCAGGAAGGATAGGAGAAAGAGAGGATCCAGTCAGGCCAGCTTCTGCCATACCACCTGCTCAGACCCTGGGGCAAAAACATACACACACCCAGGGCAGGAAACTGTACTGTAGGACACACTGACACCGTTGCGTAATGTGGACTTGACTTTCATCGGGTCTATCAAAAACACTGGCCAACACTGGTAAATAACATCTGTTTGAGATGAAACAAGGTTTTAAAGAGGTTTTTAAAACGTACTGGATGGTTTCCAGGCAGCCTTAAGGTAGCCAGACACCTGGAGATTCCTCAGAATTACAACTCATCTCCAAACCAGTGTTCCCTCTAAGCTGAGTTAGTGTGAGCTGGCTCACAGTTTTTTAGCCTCCAGCTCACACATTTTTGTCTTAGCTCAGGAAGGATGGCTCCAGAGCAAACTAATTTATGCAGTAGCCAAATCGCTCACTCACATCTTTAATGCCAGTCACTCACAAGAGTAGACTCCACATCTTATAGGGAGCATGGCTCCAGACTACAGAGTTCAGTTTCCCTGGTTAAGGCCTACTTTGGAGGGTGAACTCTGTGGCATTATACCATATTGATGCCCCTCCTGTCCCCAAACTCCGCCTTCTACAGACTCCACCCCCAAATCTCCAGGAACTTCCAAAGCCACACTTGGCAACCTTAGCCCTTGAGCCCTAACAGCTTTTTAGAAGAAACTAAGCATATTATCTTTCCCTACCACTTCTGTTTGTTTACACCATTTTAACCCACCTTTCTCAAACAGAAGACTTGAGGTAGGTTACAGTGTTCTATAAAATACAATAAAAACTCCAACAGCAAACAGAATAGACAGCATAACTCAAATATCAACATAAGACTAGGCCCAAAGGGGTCTGGACCCAGGGTCCTACTGAAATAATTCAGCTTTACTATTGCCTCTGAAAAATGATCAAGGTAGGAAGCCTTCCTAACAGCATCCAATAAGCTGTTCCACCAGGTAGCCATTACAAAAAAAGGCTCTTTCTTTATCTAAAATACATCTAATTTAAAAGTAAGATGGAATTTTTAACAATGATTGATCGGCTGAGCAGAGACACTTCATTGCAGTATATCAGGAGAAATGGTCCAGTAGATATGTGGGACCCTACTGTGAAGGCCATCTAACAAATATTTATTATAACTGTCCTGTGTCACACAGGCAGTGTGCACCTAGAGTACTAGTGGCTTGGAGAAAAGTTATTTTCTAAGGAAAAGGTATGTGTGTGGATAGAGACTGTCAATTAAAACACAGGTCTGCGTGCTGCAGCAGAAAACAGACAGGAAAGTGGGATCTCCTCTGCTTCACCATCTATCAGATCTAACTACATGTTACATATGTATGAGTATAACTGAACCCCAGTGATCTTTTTTTCTAGGAACAGCCACATTGGGAGGAGGTGCCTGGAACAGAGAAGGAATTGCACTGTCTTTCCTGTGAGTTCTTCACCACAAATTAGCCCCTAATGAAATGGCTTTTCTTAAGAAAGAAAAGAGGGGGATTAGACTTCAGTTACATGCATTTGCATGTATCGTGTAGTTAGGTTCTCAGCCTTACAAGTTATTACAAAAGAGGTATCGATTATTATTAGCTATTTATTTCATTTCTATACTGAAACTCTCTGGGCAGTTTACCACAGATATAAAACAATAAAATACAATAAATAAAGCATTAAGAATTAAAATTAATTTAAGATAACATGAAAAACTTCGAAACAATAGACCAGACCCAAAAAGACCTAACCCAAAGTGAAGGAAAAGTATCTGCCTAATCATATCAGGCCCCTGCATGACCAAGGAGGTCTTTAAAGCCCTCCAAAAAGATGACAAATTTGGTGCATGGTGCCCTAGAAATAATTGATAAGCTGCAGTTTGTTGCCACGTACTAAGTACTAGGTACTACTGGTACTTAGATATACATTTAAGATTTAGCCCTTGAATCTGTACTAGCTCAAAATTTATTTTTAAAATTCATTTATACCCCACCTTTATCAATGGGAAATCAAAGTGGCCGACACAAATCTCTCCTCCATTTTATCCTCGCAACAACCGTTTGAGGTAGGTGAAGATGAGAGAGTATGACTGGCCCAAGGTCACCCAGTGAGCTTCCATGGCATAAATCAGAATTCAAATATGGGATTCCCAGATACTAGTCCAACACTCTTAACCACTACACCACATTGGCTCTCATTTAAGGTAAAGATCTGAACGTGTTAGAATTTGGGAGGAGGTATATGTGTGGCAGTAAAATGATGATTGAAAAAATCATTACAAGCTGGACTTTCGGTTTATGGCAACACGCTGAGCAGACTCATCTCCCGGACCTCCCGGGGATGAAATCTGCACACCAGCAGAAAGGAGAGGGGGGCGACATCTCTCTACCCCCCTGGAGCCTAGTTGAAAGGCTCCTAGCCATGGGACTTTTGAAAGGTGGCCTCTTTGCCAGTGCAATGCTGGGGAATCGAGGCGCTTCTCCGTCCCGACGGTCCTCCTGCTGTGTGTTCGTATGGAACTAGTGACGCCGACCGGGACAAGAGCTGGAGATCGAGCGGTTTAAATGGAGTTACAGCGAGGTCACAAGCAATGCTCCGTCTAAGCTGTGGAGTCTTGCGAGCAAAAGTTCTACTTTGTGAGCTACCGGCATTAAAATTGTGAGCGAGCGATTAGTTTGCTCTGGAGCCCTCCTTCCTGAGCTGAGACAAAAAAGTGTGAGCTGGAGGCAAAAAAACTGTGCGCTAGCTCACACTAACTCAGCTTAGAGGGAACACTGGTCACAAGACCGACTATGAACTGTGAGTCGGAGTACAGCATAATTGACAATTTGAAAAGAAAGCTCCCACCCCATGGACTAGAGAGTAAAGCGAGTGGGGAAGGAGCCCCTCCCATGCGCATGAAGTAAAAAGCGAGATTCAAGGGGGGAGCGGAAATAAAAACGCTGAAATCTGTTGGGAGAGACTTACCAGGGCGCGGATAAGCGTATGAGCATATATTCAGAGACTTTAGCAAATTTCCGGAAAGTAAACAATCCATAAAGATGGCGGGGAAGAGGACTGAGAAAGAAAAATAAAATAAAAGTGAAAGTAGATGGGAGCCCTCGTCTGGAGGAAACCACCGAGTTGGCTAAAACGTTGGCAGAATCACTGCACCCCCTGCTGGACCAGATGACTAATCTCAAGGAACAGCAGTCAACAATGAATCAAAGCATCACTACTCAGCAGCTTCAATTGAACAAGACTCTTAAAATCACGGAGCAAACAGCTGAGAAATTTAAAGAAGTTGACACCAGTACTCAAAAGGTGAAGAAAATGCTGCAAAAACTGGAAAAGAAACAAGTCTCTACAGAAGAATAACTTTTACAGCTACAAATGGAGAAGGCAAACCTGGCCCTTCGATTCCAAGGTGTCCCAGAATCCAAAGGTGAGACTCTGAAGCAAATTATGAGCGAAGCATTAGCCCCAGTGACAGATTTGAAGGCAGAATACCTCATGAGCGAGATGGATGTGGCCTACAGGTCTTTAAAGAAGAATAATCTGCCTGGGGAAATAGTAATGAGATTCTCAAAGAGGCATGTGAGGGATGCTATCCTGCAAGTGACTGCGGGGTTACCCTTGAAAATTGGGGACAATACTATCAGGATTTTGAAAGATATCCCATTTGAAATAAGACAAAGGAGAAAGAAATATAAAGATTTAATTCTTTTTCTTCAAACAAATGCAATTGTATACAGGTGGTTAATTCCAGAGGGCGTAACCTTCAAACTTCAGGATAAAAAAGAAAAGATTGACTCTGTTTCCAAAGAACGGGAGTTTTTGAGAATCCAGTTGGGTGAGCCAGAGGAGGTGGATAAAGAGGAGAAGGACAGCAAGTCCAGTGGCGAGATGGACTCGGGGTCTTCCAGAGAGGACTCCCTTTCTGAAAAAGGGGCGGCTGCCCCTAAAAGTCAATACAAACTGAGGAAAAGACAAGAAAAAATGAAGGCTGAAGGACTCTGAATTGTGCCTTTGAAAGTATAGCTTTTAATAATGAGATGCTCTG